AAAACAATCAGTAATTGGGCTCTAGAATATATGCATTCATAGACGGTCAATTGGCTGTGAAAATCGCACTTCCGACCGCTGTAATACATGTAGGTCCTCGTATACCCATTCAGAGTCCTTACTGGCCCTCGAATCAAAAGGACAGAATAGAATAGTCCCTGGAAAATCGGGAAATTCCTTCCTTACTTGACCGTGACATCGGGTTCGCGATCCCACTGAGAATATCGTGACCCCCCATTTTTCTCTCCTCTGACTCGATCTTACAGTCCGGCGGTGGCAGTATTGACAAGGCTTTATCGTCAAATTATTACTATCCGCGAAATAATCGATCAATTTCGAGGTCTCTTGTATTTCTTTCGGTGACGCTTCTTCAACGTGCTCCAAACATTTTGTAATGAAGACATAAACGAATACCTCGATCCCGTCGTCGACGCACTTGATCAAATCAAGGCTTAAGCAGAGCAAAAGGTGGGGCGGATCCAGGAACGCTGCTCGCCCGTCGTTTCAAGAAGAGTTTTTGCAAGGTACAAATACATGATGGTTGTTGTGGACTTTGCCATGATACATGCTCACTGATCTTTTTGGATCCGGATCGCATGTCTAGTCAGGGATGCGTATATATAACCTCATCTAATGACCGGGCGCTGGCCTAGTGTACGGGACCTATGATTTCCGAGGCCGCCTCGGAGAAAAAGGCGGCGAGGAACGGTGCTTGTGAGAATCCGAGTTCCCACTGCCTCTATGAATGGGATATAATGATTCACGAACCGCAGAGCGAGTGTGGAAAGTCTGTACCTGCTTATGGCAGGAGCGGGCTGCTTTCCCGGTTCGCTTACGTACGTCGATCGACAGATGGGAGAGAGAAGGGTTCTTAAAGTTCTGAAGAATAAGCGAAGTTTGCGGACTCAAGTTATGCCATGATGTTTCGTCAACGTCCTCCCTCGTAGCACCGGGGCGGTTGAGGCGTTCACTAAACCGTCCACTAACCAACTTTACACCCCGCTGTCAGACTTCGGCTAAGGACATTTGAGCCACTGGGGCGTTTAGTTTGACGCAACATTTTCCGTCCGATCTAGGATGTAACGAGCTACGGTCCGTGCTTCGGCATATCGCATCGTCCTTAAGGTCAGAGAGGTCCGTGTATCCGAAAACTTGCCAAGAAATCATACTTATAACACGGCATCGTCAGACATACTACCGAGAACAGACTCTTGTACTAGTGCGAAAAACGAAGGTAGAAGTAATTTATCGCACAAGAACGTAACATTGAAGAACGATACGAAGGAGGAGAGAGTTGACATAAATGGATAGATGGATAGACAGATAGATATCCACAATCGAAAAACAAAAGATGAGTAAAAAGAACCAAAGCCATTCCATCCCATCCGTGACGTAATTTCCAGCATTGATTATCGTATCAAGTCAATGTCCGAGAAAAGTCGCGTATCCAGAAAATATAATACCATACACAATCGTAATACGAACATCAACAACAGTCGTACAAAATACATCAACCGACAGACTCCCAATGGGTGGTAAAAACGAGAAAAGAAGAAGGCAAAGTAAGTGAGTAAGTAAGAAGCCGCAAAAAACATGATGATATCGGACGTAGCACAAAATAGAACATACCCTCGTACTCCTACTACGAACGAAGACAGGGGCCCAAGGCAAGTATTCAAGGAAGCAAGCAAGCAATCGTACAACATTTGAGGTCAAACCAAGAAGATGCGAGATGATATGAGAGCTGGGGGTTAGGCATGGTGTACATAGATATCCGGGTCAATAGATATAGGTATTGGCAACCAAAAAAAAACCAAAAGAAAGAGAAACAAGGCATTCCATCCGATCCATAATGCAATTCCAAGCATGAGTTGTTGTTAGTGGAGTCGTGCGCTGCGTTCAGAATAGGATTGATCCAGAGGTGGAGTTTGAGTTCGAGTTTGGTGTTGGAACCTGGGAAGCTGGGAAGCCGGAAAATGTGCGGAACATCGTTTCGTTCTTCACATCACATCGAAGAAATAGGAATGAATGTCTCCGCATTCTAATCATCACATCATATCGTATCCTCACCTGCACTCGGCCGCGGCCTCGCATCGCGATCCCCACTCACACCTCCCCCTCCTGCACTGGTGCTACCACCCACACCCACGCACCTCTCCTTCCCCTCACCACCAAGCCCAAGCCCAAGCCCAAGCCCAACACTCTGCATCCTCCCCAACCCAAACCACGTCTCCTGCGCATGCGCATGTCTCTGTCCAAGTCCCATCTCCCCAACAGATCCCTCCGCACAACCCGCCCCATCCCACCCCCTCAAGCTCGAAAACGAGGACTCAGGTATCGTGCCTAGTCCGATCGGAGAGGGCACAGCGGGACAGAAGAATGTGTGGCCATCTGCGTTTGTGTCTGTGTCTGTGTTTGGAAATGCATTTGCGTCTGGGCTTGTGGGTGTGCTTGGTCGTGTGGCAGTATTCGGGACGAACACTGAGTCCGAGGGCGAGTTTGGGATGGGACGGGGAGAGTAGACAGTCGTGGAAGTCGAAGGTGTGTTTGTTGGGTTCATGGTCCATTCTTGTCGTTCACGATGCATGCGCTGGTCTTGCTCATATTCTACATCTCCCAACGTACTATTAAAACACTACAAACAACGCAATCAGTCATCCACAACGAACCTGATCCAAGAAAAAACCCGTACACGCACCTCACCATACCTCCTCCCCATCTCCCCATATATACCTGCATACTGCGTACCCACGCTCATTCCGTACCCATATCCATATCCAAATATCTGGTCAAACGACCCCTCGCGCACAGGCTCGAACGCCCCACTCACATCTTCGTTCGGACTCGTTTGGAGGTGCGAAGGCCACCAACTCGCACTCGGATTCAGATTCATGTTCTGGGGTACAGATCCCCGCTCTCGCACTTGCATTTGAGAATCCCACGCGCCAACCTGAAACGCCGACGCAGGCGGGGTAGGATAACAATACTGCAACGCATCAGCCCACGTCGACGTCTCATCCTCGGCAGTGTTCGTAGTACTACTACTCTCCGTGGGCCCGAGATTCGCGATACGAAACGGCGCAACGTAGGCCTCCCCACCTATTGATGCGTATACATCTTCCTCTCGGCTTCCAAAAACCTGTGTCTGTGTGGGACGCGAAAGGATCCCTGTCTGTTCCCGACCAGCACAAGGATCCGTACCAGTACCAATATCCCATTTCTCCTCAAGCATAAGCGGAAGCGAGACCGCCTCCCGCCCCTGTACCTCCCTCTCTCCCTCTCCCCCAACCGACACAGACGCAGTCGACCAATTCCGTTTCTTCGTGGAGGCGGAAGCGGGGCCGTACCCGAGCTGGGCTTGTAGGTACGAGCCCAAGGCCTGAATACTGGGTCCAAGTCTCATATCCGGCGCGGGGGCACTCAACGACCGCTTTACGCCCTGTGTCTGTGTAACCTCAGGCGAAAGCGGGGGCGTGGGCGTTAATGTGGGTGTCATTGGAGATAGCATAGATGAGCTGCGTGGAGTTAGTGGGATCGAGGCGGGGGCGGGGTTGATGGTTATTATCAGAGGGGGAGATTTGGATTTTCCACCGGGAGCGTTGTGGACATGGACCCGGGCCCTCTTCTCGGTCTGCCATTGTTCCAACGCCCTCTCGAGCTCGACGCCCTTCTTACCCTCCACCAACAAATCTGTAATCTTATCAATTCGCTCGTTGTCGTCCCCATCTGCACGTTCGTCCTCGCCTTTCGTCGATCCACGTCTGCGCCGTGGCTTGGCTTTCATCCTGAGTGGTTTGACTTTGGATTTTTGCTTGCGTCGCCTCGAGCTCGGTCCCTCTTCGTAATCCGAATCGTCGTCATCATCATCCACCACGTCTACACCATCGTCTTCGTCGTCTTCGTCCGCATCGTCATCCGGTGGATCCTTCGCAGCCCGGATCCGCATACTCATGCTCACACTCCGTCTCCTCCTCCCTCCTCCTCCATCTGTCCCTCCCCATCCCCCGCCCGGATCCCCACCGCCACCACTATCAACCACATACCGCTTCACCTTTGCGTTCGCCGCCGCATTCGCTCCAGGACTGAACCGCCAATCAGGGAATCGCCGACGATGCTCGAGCTGCGCCTCTACAGCCTTGGCCTCCCAAGCATCATGTTCAGACTTTGGAAGTGCCTTCCAGTATTTCCCTGGTCGCACAATTCGAAATCAAGCTAGTAGTGATAAAAATGAACGTACCAATAATCTTTGATAAATTACTATGATTACCCTCGACCTTTCCCGTAACATTCTGCTCACGTATAAACGACGATCTAAATAGTATAAAAGCATTAGGCGGACGTGGGATATACGACGCGTCGCGGCGTTTCCCGTGGTAGGTATTCCTTAGTGGTCCCGAGAACACATAAGACTCTACCTCCTCAATCGTAGGCGTGCTGACTGGCGCAGTAGCAGAGAATGTGTACGTCATACTCGCGGGCGGCTCGACAAGCGGCGGCATGTCTGTCTCGTCATACTGAACTTGAAACATACCCGGGTTGTTGTTCGATCCCTCTGCTTCTGCTGTTGCTGTTGCTTGCTCCTCGTGGTCTCCAGCCATCATAAATCTAAACGCCGCGCTCACGAATGTATGTAGCTTGTTCGCGTTTTCAAGTTCCTGCTGCTCGGTTATTCCTCTGTGGGCGTCCACGATCAAAAAAAGCAAAAAACTGCAATGACAAGTTCAAGGCTGTAAGTACTGCAAAGGAACGCGCGTGTGGATAAAGGACTCGAAAGGATAAATCGGGAACAAAGGATAAGTATGGGGGACTTGTGCTGATGGGGTCACGACTGTGCCACGTGGTCCTTGCTTGTCAAAAGGAACCGGCACGGTCTTCCGTGCTTGTCACCTCAATGACCGGTCTGGACAATCCAGATTTGTCTTCTACAGGCGTACTTATCGTATAGAACTGAAATCGTAGGAGCTGTCTTCAGTCCAACGTGGGTTTAGTAGTTGTACCAATCCGGTATGGTGTAACGGCTAACATTGCCGCCTTTCATATCTTCAGGATTTGTTGTATATCCCATCGCGGCAGCTCGGGGTCGATTCCCCGTACCGGAACTCAAATTTGTAACTTGTCGTTTTTGCATTGCTGGTTTGAAGGCATTCGGCCCATCGATCTGGCTTTTCTTACTTTAACTTATTTCTGGTGGTGAAATATCGACACCGACTTCTAGTCCCACGTTTACTTACAGTACGTCAGCTTTCCTTGCTTTTCTCAACCTTTATTATGGGTGGCCACCACGATAATCCGTACAGGGCTTTCGATCGACATCCCACTTGATCCTCACACACAGTCCGGTGTGGTGTAAACGTTGCCATTCCCGCCTTTCACAAGGAGTTTATAGAAGCTCAGGGTTTGAGTCCCCGTGCTGGAATGAAGACATTCAGGAATAGTTTTTACTCAGTGCTGAACAACGCATTCGCGAATCGATATCTTTTTTTTACTTATAAACACCCACACCCAAGCTCAAGTACCCCGCTGGAATGAACGACGACGACGACAACTTTAACCGCATGCTCTCCCTACTCTTATTACACCACTCACGGCCCGCGGCCTTCCATCTACATCCCACTCAATCCCATACAGACAATCCACCCACAATCCGGTATGCTGTACATGCTACCATTGCCGCCTCTCAGAAGAATCATGCAATGATTGACGCGGCGGCTTGGGGTTCGATTCCCTGTATCGGAATAACTGGTTCATTTAAGCGTTTTGTACTTACTTGCACCGATGAAGCCATTCGCGAATCCGCCTGTGTACAAACACCCATCCCGCCGGAATGAACGAATGAACGACGACGACTTCTAGCACGCTACCTCAACTTCTCTTGCTTTTACCAATGCTATTATTCGGTCCATTCACGGTCAGGGCCCACGGACCATCTACATCATCCCACTCGATCCCATACACACAATCCACCCCCAATCCAGTGCAGTATAAAGGCTACCCATTGCCGCCCGAGTTGCGGAATGGTGAACCCGCTCGGCGTTCGATTGTCCGTACCGGAGAAGCATGTTTTATAACTGTACTGAACCCACTTGTGGATCCATTGTTTCAAGTTGTACAAACACCCAAGCTCAAGTTACCCCGCCGGAATTACGACGACGACAAATTTCAGCCGCGTGTTCACCGAAACTCAGCTCTGCCTACCCTTGATACTCAACTCATGGCCCGTGGACATCTACATCCCTTTCCACCCATACACGCAATCCACTACCAATCCAGTATGCTGTAAAGGCTACCATTGCCATAAAGAATCATACAATAGTTAGTGCGGCAGCTCTGGGTTCGATTCCTCGTACCAGAATGGAGATTGAGAGAAGTACTTTGTACTCAGTGCTGAACAGATCTGTGGGAGCCCACACATGCACCACGGCACACGCTGCTCAGCTCCATACTACTCCATTGAATCAGCGCAGGCACATTCTTGTACATCTTATAAAAATCAATTCATAATTTAGCAATGCAGTATAAAGCCTAACAGTTCCTGTCGCCTCTCGAGTCTCATGAGACAACCATTCTTTTGGCCACAGCTTGGGGTTCATTTCCAAACCTGAATGAGATGGTTGCCAGCATTACTTAATGCAAATTTTAGTGCTGAACCCACTTGATTTTGCCCACCCCCGGCGGGAATGGATATTTTCTCTTCTAGCACAATACTCACCCGCCGACAGCAAATGAAATTCAGATCTGACTATATACTGGTAAGCATGCTTCTTTTAATGTCCGGTATGGTGTAACGGCTAACATTGCCGCCTTTCAACAAATGGTGTCCATCGCGGCAGCTCGGGGTTCGATTCCCCGTACCGGAACTATGTATTGAAGATGGTTGTACATTTTGCCCTACAATCTTTACCAACGAGCTTACAGGCCCGTGCCAAAGGATCCTGACCGATGATTATCTACTCACGCAAGCCTTCACTCCGCTCCTTTTTAGCTCCTCTCCCCATGTATATGTATTAATGATTCCCTCCCTCAACATTGTCATCATTATCACCTCAATTATTTGGCATCCACGCTATATATCCGCGCGGGGAGGGGATTAAGACGCGAGATCTCTATAGTTAAGCTCTACACTAACTTGATATATATATAATCCAGGACGACTGAACAGAGATCCTTCCTTCCATGGTGCGGTTTTGTAATTTTGTATCTATGCGGGCTGCGGCAGCTCGGAGTTCAATTTCTTGTACCTCCATTGCTGAAGTTGAACTAAGTATCTTTTTCCATCATCTCATTCCTTTTTTCAGTGATTATTCAAGTCTGTGACTTAGCCCTATGGCCCAGCCCCCGATTCACCATTTACACTTTGCCCTCCTCCACGTGGTCTACTCCAGCGACCCATGAGTTCGAAATTGAACGTTGAAATTCGAGACGAGACTCACTTACACAAGATGTCCACAAGAGTTTGGAATCTCTCCCCAGTTTAAACGGTATCCGGTATGGTAACGTATGCGATTATGAGCTCGGAGTTCGACTCCCCGTACAAAATGAGGAAGAGCGTTGCTCTCATTTTCGTTATTCTCAGATCTATATCGATATCGATATCCGATTCTGCGACGTCCAAGATTCAAACCATACTTTACTTACCCTCAGAGATCAGCTCACCATTCACCATTCACCATCCACCTCTGTCTTCTTCATGTCTTCAAGGCCCAACTAATTAACCTCTCCCTTCGTCCATCCCCTGCGACATCTTGACACATCAACATCTCAATCGTAACTGATAAGTAAATCGGTATGGTGCAAAGGCCAACACTTGCTGGCATAAATAATGCAATTGGCCCATAACAGTTGGGGTTCGATTCCCCCTGCCGAAATGTTCACATAGAGGTGCCGACTTTTTTTTTGTTACAGCCTTCAGTCGTCGATAAACCTAGCAATGGTGTTCGAGATCATTCATTCTCCTTAAGGTGTTACACGACAAGTAAGGTTATATTGATACACCGTACAAAATATATTGAGCATGTAGATTTTAGTACATCGAATCAGTGCGAATCTACAGGAAGCTGGGTCATACAAGCATAAGATATAGAATGACTCAGAGCAACGAGCATGAGACAATGACAAGGAGTCGTACATGGTAGGCGAGGATCTAACAAGTTCACGAAAGAGCGCGCAAAAAGGTTCGAAAAAGCAGAGAATGAATTAAGCATGATTTCGACGTCCAGACCCCTCCAAAGAAGGGAAGAGCTGATGTGCATCCGTGCGTTCATCATGAGCTGCAAGAAAGTCAGCACTGAGATTTCCAAAGTAAGGCTGCAAGGTGCGACAGAGAGGAAAAGGAGGGACTGTCAGCGTCCTCTCATCGCTGCAAGGTCCATCGACGGACTCTCTTCATGTCTGCATCCATTCACGTCACTTTCTCCGTAAACGTGTCCTTGGAGCCGATGTCGATATTGCGAATGGTAGCCCGTGTACCTTCGTCTGCGCCAGCCTAAAGGTTCTCGATGAGGTGGAACTGGTATCTGAGCAGAAGCCCTCGTGTTACTTAAAACAGGGCTTGGAGAATCGACAGTAACCGTATTCAATATCGAGAATTCAATTGACGTAGATAATAAACGTGTCCTGATAAGGCAGCACGTGTACATAATTGGAGGATAATTGTTTCTGTTGGTACCCAGCTATGGGAGCGTACGCGTGCAAGTCAGCTATTAGAAGGAGACCCCTGCAAGAACGTCTGCACTAGCCACCACAATTTTAATTTCCGTACCAAGCAATTACGCCTCGTACGTCAAATGTTTCACTTAAGACAGCCTTCTCACCTTCATAATTCAAACATTATCGAGTAACGCTCGGGGAGGGTAAATGACAGCGTCGAAGGTCAGTCGCTTTGCGAAATATCACACAGCGTGACCCGCTATTATTGGGAAGTCGAAGGGAAGTGGATGCGCTGGTCACGGTTGTAGAGGAATACGTTACAATGCGATTGAAGAGGTAAAAATTTATGGAGAGGTGACTCACCATTTGTAAGATCAAGAACCTGAATCCGAACACAGCAGGAAGCTTGACGTGATGACAAGAATACAGCTTTTCTAACTAGAAACCCTCGCTAGTGAAGACAACACGGCCGTGTTGGCATTAGTCAGTCTGGTGGTTCGTCGATGGTGGATTGATGATTTAGAGGCAGCTCCGTAGGTTGTAGTTGTCATTCAGATGTTTCATGTGATGGTAGGCTCGGCGAAGTTCTGTTGCGATTATGTACTAAGATAGGAAGAATTGACAAGACTGCTCAGATGAATAGCGGACAATCGGAGACGATCCCCATACCATGCTGCAGACCGACAACTTCATACTTACACAGATAGATGATTCCATATAATTGATGAACACGAGCTCAGTGTCATGTGCAAAGGCTAAATGAAGTTCTAAGAACCTTGTAGACACAGCAGAAGATATCGTAGTGCAATTCAATATACAAGTCTAAGAGAGAAACCAAAGGTCATTGGTAAGCTCTTTATTACCGTGGAATAGATGTGATCCATGGGAGGATATGCGTGACTTACCTGAAATTCGATAGTGACTATATCACTGTACATCGCGCGGTGCTTTGCATGAACAGTGAGAACACGTAAAACAAATGAAGAGGTGAAACAAAGTCGTGTTCGGTCCGGACTTGGCGTGCCAAGCAGCATCAAACAGCAGCGTAGTGGCCCTCTTTAATAAGTGAACCGCCCGACCAGAGTCCAGGCCTGACAACCAGCACACATCGAGTCGTGAGCTTGGCGCCTCGTTTTTTCTACGATTACCTTCTTTCAGCGTATAATCCATGAAACCTCAGACGTGAAACAGATGCAAGCCTTCGTAATTTCAATTGCCATTTTGATGCCGTTACATTTGTGCCCAGGTATAAAATACTATGCGGTACCTTTCCTCTTCAGTATTGTCCAATATACACTACATTCTCAAGTAATATATTATTGAATTGTATTGAAGTGAAATATCTGCTCGCAAGGTCGGACAACTGCACAGTGCACGAAACACGCAACAAATTGAAAGTTATGTGATATCGTTGTCGGAACCTCTAGGGATGACATTAGACAGGAGCAAACCTGAAATCAAAATATGGGAGCTGACCGATGATCACAAACAGATACTTCTTAGGACACTACCTAGACAGTTGTCGATATATATACCATCTTCTCCTTTCAAGAATCATGCGGTTCGAACCTGCACTCTTCTTTAGAACGTTTGGTTGATCGTATCCTCACAGCAGAAGCGTTGTCCGCTCAACAAACAACGATCATTAACCTATCTCTTGAAATAAAGATTGAGAAGTTATGGTTTTGGTTGTGCCATACTTGTTTCTTAGGGTTGCGTTAGTAAAGACTTCTTGTCTTAGCCATTTACTTGTTATATGAACATTTCCTCTCTTGACTAAAGAAGTTCTTTCTCGGTGCCGAAATGGGTGCGTTTGAATTGCGAAACCATTGTGCACATCTGTATCCATTACTACGACGGTCAGTCGTTTGCAATCCCTGATTTCAGCAAAAGATCATAGGTCGAGCTGATGTGGCGATGACTATTAGAGACGTGGCTCTCGAAAACACCCGAAACTTACGATTGACCTAACTCAAGGTCAGAGTTTGCTGCTGAGGTATATGTTTCATGAGGTCCAGCAAATTCTGAGACTGAGAGTCTTGAGTTAGCTATAGAATATTAATATTATTAGTTATATAATGGTACGAGTAGAAGCAAAGTAGACGAAAGCTTTTATATTAGATGGAATAAAAGTTAGCGTCACCATATTTTCATAATCATAAACAGTCCGGTAGTTCCTGACTTAAATCCTCAGGATCGAACGCTTGCGCCGCTGCCGCAAGCTATCCAACTACATATTTTTTCCCGCTTCGACAGTGTGGCTGGGGATCAGCCTCCTGTCCGACTCCATGGCGTTTCGTAGGTGTCATGATGTAAATTCGTGATCGTGACAGATTGTACGGACGCAGACTCACGACGAATCGGATGGGTCTGCCAAGGCAGCGCTACAAATCGACGCTAGTCCATATGCCTATCAGAATCGAGAACAAAAGCAAGAGTTTGACTAGGCTGGGTCGGCGTTGAGGCCGGACGTTGCGGGTTCCGTGCTGGACGTGGTGGAGGAAACAGTGATTCTGCTGGAATGTCAATTTCGCCCATGACATTGAGATGCGAGCGTGAGGGAGAGGGGCGCATTATCGACGGAGAAGTTGCGGTAGAAATAAATGGGGAGGGTTTGAAATTCGAACGCTTGGATATCGTTGACGGACATTTTGAAGGGAAGATGTTAATGGGGTCTTCTGTGGAGAAAGACGGGATCATGGGTGATCCTGAGCGGCTATCAAGTATTTTCTCGTCGATATCGTCCAGATCTGTCCTAAGACTCGAGCTTCCGCCCCATATCCGTTCCCATTCATTCATATCCTCATTATCTGTCTCGTGGTCCCCACTCTGTTCCTCATGGTTACCCCACCCCGCCTGCGGTGTAATTGATGTATACGTATCTCTCCTCATACGACCAAGAGGTGCCCCTGGCCGGCGCGGCGGAAGAGGCAATGACACCATCTCTGGGGCAGGGGTATGGGTGATAACATAGTCATCGCCCTCGCGGGGTGTCTTGATCGGGGAAGAAGGTACGCTCGGTACGACGACCCGTAATTTCATGTGGCTGCGAGAAGGAGTGTTAGGATTCCTGGGGGAGGACAAGACAGATAAAGGTTCACTCCCTCCAGTTTCATGTCCAGCGTCGGACTGGACGTGTATATTCCCGAGCTCACTGGGAGGCACGATATGCTGGCCAACGCCGTCGTTGATGGCAAAAAAGGACCGAGGG